TGGCACAGGCTGCTCACAGGTTGAATCACCATCCCTGGAGGGGTTTCAAAGCCCTGTAGAGGTGGTGCTGAGGGACATGGTTCAGCACTGGACTCAGGAGAGTTGCTTCAATGGTTGAACTCGATGATCTTAAAGGTCTTTTCAAACCAGAACAGTTCTGTCATTCTGTGATTTAGGAAGGACATTTAATGTGCAAGAGATTGCTGTGGGTTGGTGCATGAAGACATTCACTATAATTGACAAAGCGATGATCACATTTGCTAATGGAGTCTGTTGGGCTGACATTGAACAGGGGCACATTTGGAGCATTGCTGCCCCCAGGTCACAGTGTTCAGTGCATGTTGGCAAGTCGCTGGCTTGCCTGTCAGCAGGGGCAGGTGTGCAGGAGTACACAGAAACTACAGGCTGCTAGTGATACAGCCCTGGACAAGGGGGTGGGGAAGGGCCAGAGCCCAAAGCCCTGTCCTGCTGCTGCCAGCCAGTGCGTTCCTGCTGTGATGGAAACCAAGGAAAGCATTGCTGGCTTGGGGAGCCTGCCCAGGGGAATGGACATGCTGCTGCTTTGGGCACCTTTGGATTGACATTGATACATCATAGGATATTTGTTAGTAAATTCAATAGAAACACAGCCTAATAAAAATTTACTAAAATAATGAATTTGCTATACCAAGGGTTACTTTTAAAACAATGTGCTTTGTGAAACTGCCAGTCAATGATGCCAAGCATCCTGCAGGCTGGGATAACATCAAGTCTTCTCAGAACCTGTGGTGCCAACAGACACACTCGTGTTGGTTCTGACCCACCTGGGCAATCGAGCAGCAGGAGCCTGGAGACAGGATGAGGAGGAGAGACAGGACAAAGACCACAAAGGACCAGAATCAACAAAGACCCCCAGGAGACTCTCAAGCAGGCATCATTACAAAGATAGCTCATTCCAGGAAATAAAATGACTATGTGCAAGAATTCTGGGAACTCCTTGACATGGATCTGGATCTGTGTGTTTTTGGTGTGTATGAGTTGGGGTGTTTCACTAACTGGTCGGAGCAGTCACGGTGGAGAATCCCCAGCGCTGCCCGGCACTGCAGGAAAGAGCCTCAGTAACAGCTTGTTTGTTGTTATTGGGCCTTGATCTGGGAATCCCTGCCCAGCCGCACCCAGGCTCACACTGGGGTGAGGAGGGTGAGAAAGCAGGGGGGTTTGGAAGCTCCGAAATTTTTTGCTTCAACAGAAGGGCTCGGGGTGGTACCAGGTGTGTCCATGTGCCTGTGGGTATCAAACACAGGCATTATGGCTGCAGGGTGGTGACAGGTTTTCTACCGGGACTTCTCCCTTTCAGAGTGGACAGTTCCTTGTAGGTGACTGAAGATACAAACCTCATTTACAGGGAGCTCTGAGTTGGTGTTTCGGGCCCAACTCCGCGCTGAGAGTGATTTTCAACTTTGCAAAACAAGTCGGTGAGATTTTACGGCAGAGCATGAGAAAACCTTCACTTTCAAATACTTCACGCAGGCGTGTAACTTTGCCTGGTGGCAAAGTTCACCCCGGCTGATGACTGAGGCTCATGACAAATGGGTCAGAACAGGAGCAGGTGTGTGGGTGACCCCGGGCGAGGCTGGGGCCAGGCTCGGCCTCCCGCGGGCATTGGCTGCAGCTGGGGGCAGGGTCACAGAAACACAGAATCACAGAATCCCAGGGGTTGGAAGGGACCTGGAAAGCTCCCCCAGCCCACCCCCCCTGCCAGAGCAGGGGCACCCAGAGCACATCACACAGGAACGTGGCCAGGGGGGTTGGAATGTCTCCAGAGAAGGAGACTCCACAGCCTCTCTGGGCAGCCTGGCCCAGGGCTCTG